CCTGACAGCCAAGTCCCCCCCATAGGCTCCCGTCACCACAGACAAGGCAGAGGAGATAATGAAGCAGCAGGAGCCCCTCTGGGGACCACCCTGCAATACGGATGGAAAGCTCTGCATCCAGCTGGACTCGCAGACCTGAGGGCTCCTCTGGCCCTGCCAGGCCCTTCCGAGGGGCTGATCCTGCAATGCTGGGTTATAAAACATGTCAGGTGCAGGAAATACAGCACCAGGTTCACCCTGCCATGTGCACTGCTGTTGTGCCTTCCTGTCTTTCCCTCGAGTTTCATAAGCAGCCACCTTCCCCCTGGTCCACCTGCATGGTGAGAGCTCATGCCCCCTTTGTAGGGTAGATGTGATGCCTTGTGTGCATGGCATTGCAGCCCTGGGCTAGCCCGCATGGGTTCTGGCAGTGCTGGGAGCTCCTGGGGACTGAGCCAGCCCTGGAGGAGCCTGTCTCTACACAATGATCCCTGCCTGTGTGTGTCACATGTGTCTCTCCAACAAGGGGAACTGCTTTGCCAGGGACCACGTGTGTACTCCCGGACTATGGGGTAACACGATGCCAAGTCATGAGCTGCCATGCCAAGGCACCAAAATCACCAGCCCCTGAGACCCCCCCAGGCATGACCATCTCACCAGAAATGCCGTTGACACACAGTGCCCTGTGTAACCCACCACCAGCAGGGATCATTTCTGCCCCCTCCTGCCGTCCTGGCCCAGTTGTGGTATGTGTCCTCATAAGGGACCTGCTGGGCTAGGGGACACCAGAGTCCTGCAGGGCAGGAGGAGCAGCCAGGACCAGCCTGGGGTCCCTGAGCTAAGTGTGGCCCAGCCAGTGGCTTGGGTGTGGAGGGGAGGCCCTGGTGTCTCCCTGCCTGGCCATGGCCTGAGCTGTGCCCACAGGTGAGCTCCAGATGTTCCTCCGGGACCCTGAGTCCCCCCAGTCCCTCCTCCTCACATGCCTTTTAAGTCCCCTGTTCCACCACAGCCTTGTGCTCATCACCAGGCTGACAGCCCCATAATCCTCATGAGGGAGGTCTGAGGGGGCAGGTTTAGGGTACAGGTATTTGGGAACTTGGGGTTTGTGGAATGGGGGGGGTCTGAGGAGATGGACCCCATACCCCAAACCCCATTTGTGCCCTCACACCCCTGTACCTCTTAGCAGGAATCTCTTTCCTGCCTGCCCCCCAGTGTAACAAGAAGCGCCCCCGCTTCCATCATATATTCCCCTCTGAACACAGATAGCAAAGGCCTCTTGCCTGCATTGCTTTCCCCTCTTTGGATGTCTTCTCTTCTACCTTTTCTTCCTTCCCTTGCTCACTATAAGATATCAAATTATTTGGGTAATTTTTTGGTATGAGGAATTGTGTTTTAGGAAATGACAGAGGTGCTCTTATAGGTATAATCTGGTATTTTACATTTTGCATGTGTGCATTTTGTATTGTCCCTTATTCTATGTATTTGTGCGCCATGCCATTTCCACCTCTTGTACCTTATACTCTTCACCCTGTAACTGAATGCACTCTGCCTTCACAAGCAAGTGATACCCTGTACCAAGGCTGGCAAGGGCAGGGATCCAGCCGCCGCCTCCCTGTGCCGGCAGGCCCTGCGTGGGCGAGCGGAGCAGTGAGTGGATGTGTCAGGAGTGCAGGGGGCAGCCGTCCTGGTCTGAGACAAGAAGACACAAAACCCAAGAACCCTTGGATCCGAAATGATACCTTGTATTAGACCAACTGGGAAATGGCAATTGTGTGTGTCTACTTGAACGTGCAACATGGTATGGAGCTACAGTGCCGCGGTAACAGTAACCGGTGACGCCTGGAAACCGCGGAGCAAGAACAGGAAGAACTCAAGGGGAGCCCAGGTAGCAGCCGGCAGCAACCTGAGCCTTCACTCTTAAAGGGACAGGAGCCCCGGGTTGAATTAATCAGAGCCAAGATCAGCTCTGGGGGTGTGAATATCGCCAGATCAACCGCTTCCCGCAGCCCTATTCAGGACAACAGTAAATTAATCAAAACTCCTCAACGGACTCCCCAAACTGCACAGACCTGCAGACATGACCCTGGGGCTGACAGCTGCCATCCAGTAGCCACCATGGGGGGCGTCCCATAAGGGGCAATGACCGCTGGACTGAGCAAGCCCCAAAACTGGGGAGTCACCAAAGTCTGCAAACTGATGAAAGGCAGTGAAGAGTGACCCTCAGGGGCGCCCTCTTGATCTCCAACTCAACCAGCACCCGACCAGTGCAGCCAGAAGGACCAGCCGGCGACCCCCTCCTGGAAGATAAACCACGTTGGAAGAAGCCTCAACTGGCCATCGATGGCAGAATCCAATGCTTTTGGGATAGGTATACCGGTGCTTCACAAATATCCATAGCTAGCTTGTGTAAGTGCATGTGTGCACGTGCATGCATGAGTGTGTGCTTGAAGGGATCAGCCCCAAGATTTATGATTTGATTTCATTGCAATATTTTGATCCATCTAATCAACTAGAATTTTAAGGATCTCGAGTTGGTCATTTGTAGCAAAGACCCTCAGCTCACTGCCCCTCACAGCAGGGTTTGGGGCAGAGGGGGGATGAGGGATGTCTGTGTTCACCCCCTGTACCCCAAAGCCCACCTCTCCTCTGACCTGTGTACCCCAAACCCCATTTGTCCCTGAGACCTGCCCCCCTGCATAACTTAAACTCACCGCCTCCCACAAATTGTGGGGTCTGAGGTACAGGGGTTTGACTCCTCAGGTCCCCCATACCCAAAACCCCACAATTCTCCTCAGATCCCTACCCACAAACCTACTGTCTTCAGACCCTCACTATCCCAACCTCAATCTCTCTCCTCAGAGCCATGTACCCCGAAGCCCACTTGTCCCCCCAAGTGGGTAGCCCAAGAGGTAGCACAAAAGAGCGCTGGGGTCAGATGACCCCAGCCAGGTGCTTGTCCAGTCTCCTTCTAAAGACCCCTGAGACAGGGAGAGCACCACCTCTCTTGGACGCCCATTCCCAAGTTTGGCAACACTCACCATAAAGAATTTTTTCCTAATATCTAATCTAAATCTGCTGTCTGTCAGTTTATGGCCAGTGTTCCTAGTAATGCCAAGGGGTGCCCTGGTAAACAGTGTGTCCCCTATTCTTTGATGCCTGGCCCCCCACCCATTATGCCATGATTTTGTAAGAAGAACAAACAAGATCATCCTAGACAAGATAAATACAAACTTATTTATATTTTTCTTTAGTTTTTGCAGCATCAAAAATCTTCAGTTATAAAAACTGTTTCCACAATTTGCCCATAATGGGGAAGGATGAAATAGCCTATAACTTTGTCATTTCTGGTTTGATTTGGATGAAACCTGCAGTAATGGTAACCCCTTCTGGGGGAACGAATCTTGCCAAGGTTCAGGGAGATAAGTGCAGGGACCAGGGAAAATCTACCCCAAAATTTTGAAAGCAAAACTTGTGTCACGTGTATGTGTTTAGCCATAGTGGGGTAAAAACTGCAGGCATGCTAGCCCCTGCAGAGGCCACGAGGCCTGCCAAGTTTCAAGGAGATAGATGCAGGGGCTTGGGGGAAACTGTACCTCAAGTTGCAGACAAGCAAAACTCGTGACATGGGTGACCCTGTGTGTGTTAAAGCAGAGCAGGGTGAAAGCTGCAGGGATGGTGGCCCCTGCTGAGGCCATGAAGCCTGTCAGCTGTGAAGGAGATGGGTGCAGGGCTTCTGGGTTCTGGGGCCCTGCACCCCAAGCTGCTGGCAGGCAAATCTCGTGCCATGGGTGCTTGTGCAACTGGCTGTCTCTGTCTTGGGGCAGAAGTGGCTCCTGGCTCTGTATTGATTCTTTCCTCTCCTTAGTCTGTGGTTTCCTAGGTGCTAATCCTTGCTCATTAACTCATTATCCTCACTGTGTGTTGAGCTGGTCCCTGAGTGACTCACGATTGATTGCATAATACAGTAGCTAGGCAGGATAATGAGTTAATGTTTGCCCAAACCCCCTGCACCTATGTCCTTGAAACTTGGCAAGCTTCATGCCCTTAGAAGGGGCTACCATTCCTGCAAGTTTCATCCAAATCAGACCAAAAATTAAAAAGTTATACACTGTTTCAACCTTCAACACAGCATTGAAATGGTGAAACATTTTGATTTGCCTCTTTTTGTTACAGGGCTGTTTCGACTATATCTGTTCCATTTTGATTTCACTGTTTCATCCTCAAAATGGATTGAAACAGCCCTGAAACAAAACTGGCAATGACATTTCACACAGCCCTCGTGTCCGCTCCACAGTGCATTGGGCAGGGGCACAGCCTGTACCACACAATGTCATTCAGGTCCATCTTGCTTGGAGCAACAGACCACTGCAGTGACGGCACTTGATCTTAGCCTACAAGAGGCTGAGAAGCCAGGGTGGATTATTTTTAACTATATTTATAAAATATTATAAAATATATATTTTATATAAGCGGTGGACGGCTCTATACAGAGGCTCTGGAGGCTTCAGCCCTGCCCTGCCTGCTCCTAAATCCATTCAGGGAAGCAGATGATCATGAGCACTGTCAACTTTATTCTGGTAGCCCAGGAGTTGCACGGTGCTGGGCCCCACATGGAAAGAGAGTGAGACATGGCCCCAGCCCCACAGCACAGACACACATGGAGGGAGGGAGGCAGGAGCAGCCTCCACCAGCAGAGGCCTGGGGATGATGTAGCCATGACCAAGCTGCAAGCCAGACCCTGGGCCCTGCGTCCCAACCGTGACCTGATCCCGCAGCCCAGCCCAGCTGTGGGCACTGTCAGACCCCAACTCCATGCAATGCCTAACGACTGGATAGCAGCAGGCTAGTACACTCATTGGCTTCCCAAAGCAACTTTATAGCATGGCAGCACTTGGGACACTCATAACTGGAGTGACCCAGAGTATCTTTTACAACAGTTTTTTATTAAGCTGGATTTACATACACCCCACCTTGTTCCCTCCCTTCTCCCGCCTTTTTCCCTCTCGTCTTATGATCCCGCCTGTGTCTACTGTTTACTGCTTTACATACTATGATATCCCCTACATGGCACTTTTATTTCCCCACCCTATTATGACCGTTGGTGCCCTTTGTCATTGCTAAGTGTTGCTAGGGTTGTTATCTACAGGATATTCTTGTTGCCCCCTTTCCTGCATGTCTGTGACCTTCAGCATCTTATCTTATCTTACTTTCCACTACACTAACAGGCACCATCCCTGGTATCACCTGAGTGGCGGCAGAGATGCGGCGCTGGTGACACTGCCTCCTCCCTCCTCAAGTGTTTGAGGCTTTGGTGGTCTCTGAATGACCTAGAAAGCCAGTGGGAGGAGCCTGTGACTTGCCATCCCGGGTGCGTGGGTCCAGTTGCCTGGCAGAATTGGAGCATCTGGACGTCTCCATGACTGGGGCAGGGTGGCAGGCTGCACCCACCTGCAGGGGCATGGGTGGGGTGGAGGGGTGGGGGAGTGCAGGTGCCAGGCTGAAGCCGGCTCCTTGGGACATGGAATCTGCAGCTGGGAGATGGGATTGGAGCTGGGGGAGTCAGTCTGAGGTTGGGAGTGTCCCCTGACACACATGTCATCACTTGTGATACTGGGCCATGACAGGAGCCCATATTCCCCTTCAGGCTGCTAGTGGTCAGTGCTAACCCCTGCCTTCCTGGGGTGACTGGAGGGGATGTTCCTAAACCACCCAGAAATTGGCCCCTGCACCTGAAAGCCACTGGCAGGAAGCTCGGTCCAAGGGGGTGTCTGCTCAAACTGGTCCATGTGCCGGGTGCAGAGCACAGCATCCCCCGGCTGTCACCACTGTGGACTCCCCTGTGCTGCCCGGCTTGCACGCTCCTACCTTGGAGCCACAGCTGCCCACTGGCCCTGAACTTGGGTTTCTTCAGGGCCTCGTGCTGCGCGCGGCACAGGTACTCCACCCCGTCGTCCTCGGGCCCCGCGGCGGGGAGGCGCAGCTCAGACTCCACGCTGTAGGACTTCACATCTGGTGACCGGCTGGGGGCGGGGATGTAGATCCTGTGGGGGCCAAAGCTCTCAAGAAGCCTGGGGTCCTCCTCTCCTGTTCCCTTTCACAGCCACGCCACCTCCAGCTGCTTGAGGTAGAACCCCGAGATCAGGCACCGCAGGGTCTCCGGCTGCCCTGGGACCAGGGCCTGCGGGCGGGAGACCTCCCCCATGTCTGGAGGGTGCGGATGACAGGCTGCAATAGGTGGGAGTGACGTGTCAGTGAGATGCCCCTGTCCCCGGGCACCAGACACATGCCCGCCCACTACCCTGGCCAGCCTGAGCCCAGATCCTGACACCTCTGCTGTACACTCCCCGTGGTCCTGCAGCGTGGGGGTGAAGGTCAGGGAGGACGTGAGGCGGGTCCCAGCTCTCTCCTCGGTCACTCTCCAGCCCGGGGGGAGGGCGGGTAACAGCGCCTGGTGCTCGGGGCTCTGTTGGTCCTCAGCACTGTCAGGCACCATCTTGTCCTCACTGTGGATCCTCTCCCATGTCACGGCCACGTCCTTGGGAAATCTCCCCTCCATTGAGCAGCAGAGGGTCACCTCCTGGCTCAACAGGCACCGCTCCAGCACCTGCCCAGCCTGGGGTCGGAGCAACACGCAGGACATGGGTCAGCCTGGGATGGTCAGGGAGATGCATCCAGTGTGAGCTCAAGCTGCTCCACCCCTGGGCGTCCCTGCTGCCTCCACCCTCTCTGGCCCATCACTGCCCTTTGTGACCCTGCAGCCCATCTCCCCGCTCTACCTTTCCTCTTCATACAGCAAAAAATGTTTCTGGCAGCCATGGCTCCCACTATGATCAGGATCCCAGGATGATTCCAGCCGGGCACCAGTTAGATCCACTCCTGTACTCAGCAGTGGGAAGAGAAAACATGGCAGAGATCAGCTCACAGGATTGCTCTGAAGGAAGCAGGGTCTTACCCAAGACCCCCGAGCCAGCCCACATCCTGAATCCCCCCCTCACTCCAGCTGCAGGGGTAGGGCATGGCCAGGGCCTCATCTCCCCTGTGGCTACCTCTGGCACATGGCTTGGCATCCTTTGTGTCCCAGCTGTTACCCTCACAGTCGTGGCCCAGGGTTTCAGGTCAGTCACCCCTTGGAGCACTTGTACAGGGTCGTCTGACAGGGTCACCACGGCCAGCGACAGGGTGGTATCTTTGCTCTCCAGCTCCTTCTCCAATGGCAGGCTGGCTCTGGTCTGGGCCTGGCTCCTGCCTTCATTATATTTGGACACCTTCTTCTCTCAGAAATACCACATAACTGGCAGGGAGCGCAGGGCTACCAGCTCCACAACAGTGAACTGGCACTGCGGCAGGGCCCCTGAGCCCATGTGGGCTGTGGAGGAGGGTGCCGTGGTCACCTGCAGCTGGGAACCTGCCCCGGGGAGAGGGAGTAACCATAAGGTCCCGCGGCCCACCCAGAGCTGGGCCGTTCTCTGCAAACACGGGGCTGCTGGGATTTCTCCCTTCCAGGTGTGTTCTGGTCCCAGCACTCAGCTGCCCCTGCATGGGGGGTGATGGAGGAGACTGGATCAGCTGGTTTCTTGCCTTTAGGGCAGGGGTGGGCAATTATTTTGTGCAGAGGGACACTTACTGAGTTTCGGCAAGCCATTGAGGGCTGCATGACAGGCAGCCCAGGGCAGATTGATATTAATTTTCTAAATTTTTAAGGGGCCCTGCAGGCCAGATAGAATGGCATTTTGCCCACCCCTGCTTTAGGGGCTCTGGTTTTTATTGCTTGTGTGTTTGTTTTTAAGGAAAAAAATGTCATGTCCCAAGTCAAATCAGACAAATCAATTCCAAATCTATGAGCCATTCAAGAACCATATGTGGCCCTGCTACTGGCAAGCATCCCCCAGCCCCGCCTGGCGGTTTCAGACACTTCCAAATGCTTTGGCGAACATCTTACATGCAGGCTGAAGTGCAGAGGCTTGCAGTTCGGATACCCCCGAGTTTCACTTGCCTTCAGTCATATGGCCACAGAAGCAAGCTACAGAGGAGTCTCCCATTTCCATAAAGTCAGTGTATAGCTGAGATCTTCCCCCTGGAAGTGAAAGTGGGAGGCTATCTATGCATTCCCTCGGTCAGGGTACTACCCCCTGCCACGCTCCTGGTTTTTCCCTGCCAGTAGGAAAACCACCTTGGTGGTGAGGGCATTTCTTCAGGAGCTCAGCGCGAGCAGGCTGCACTGAATACAGTGCTTGTAAACACCCCCTGGTTGGACATCTCCATGCTCTGCTCACCCCAGGGGCAGAGGGCAGTGTGGGCCGGCTCAGCCCTGCCAGCCCCCACTTACTTGCTTTCGCCAGGACGAGGAGAGCAGGATCAGGCCGTGCAAGGAGCAAGGCCCAGGTGTCCATCCATTGGACTACTTCCACGATCTCCAGCACATCTGCTATTTCTACCCTGGGAGGCCAAGTTTCCTGGGATTTCTGGGCGGTCACTATTATGTGCTTTGACCTTCCCCACATCACAGGGAGGAGCTGGGAGAAGGGGCCTGGTGAGGGGAAAGCCACAGCAGAGCTTCTCCTGCCCCACAGGTTTGCAGGAGCCGGGCTGGGGCCAGCCCTGTCCCCTGGCCCTGGGGTAGGGTTACCATACATCCAGATTTCCTGGACACATCCTCTTTTTGAGCCCTCTGATCTTTGTCCAGGCAGGATGTCTAAATCTGACCAAATGTCCAGGATTTTGCTTGGCTCTGCTGGTGGGAGCAGGGGAGGGTGATGGGAGGCATCAGGGGCTGGGGCTGCCTGCCCCTCAAGCTGGGGAAGGGGCTGGGGGTCCTCCGAGGACACTGGAGGACTCAATGGCTGCGTGGGCAGCACAGGGGCCAGCGCCTCTGCTCCGAGGGGTGGAGCAGCCAGGAAACACTGAGTGGGGAGGGAGGAGGGGGTGGGAATCATGGCCAGGGTGCCAGGCGGAGCTGGGGGGCGGGAGGAGCACAAGCCTCCCTTCCTCTTCCCTGCAGCCCGTGCTGGGGCTGGCTATGCCCTGCCACTGCCTGCATGAATCGGAGCTGCTGCGCTCTGGCTCAGTCAGGATGGGGACAGCTGGGCCCCTGCGGGCAGGGCGGGGGGTCAGGGGGCTGTGGGCCAGGAGTGAGGGACACTGGCAGGCAGCAGTGCTGTGTGCCACTTGGAGTCGAGTCTCACAGTATTGCCAACAACACCGTGTTGTTGAGATGCTATTTTTGAAGTGTGTGTGTGTGTGCAGGGGGTGTATTTGTGAAGGTGTGGGGGGCTGTGTGTGTGGCAGGGGTTGGAGCCTGGGGAGGGAGGGTCAGCTTTGGAAGTCCGAGGAGGGGAGGGTTTCCTGCCCCTCCAGTGGTGAAAAGGGGGCTGGGACACTTCGAGGGTAGCAGGGAGCTCTGTGGCTGTGGCCCTGGCCATGGCCTAGCTGTGCGGGCAGCAAAGGGTGTGATGGAGAGGGCCAGGAGAAGCTGGGGTGGGGCGGGGAGGAGATGGAGAGGGAGGGGGAGGAGGCCATGGCCAAGCTTCCTGGTGCTGTGCCACAGCCACAGCCTGGATGGGGGGTTGCCCTAAGTCCCCGCTCCTCTTCCCTCCAGCCTGTGCTGGGGCCACACTTCTGCATTGCCTGCATGAGTCAGGATGGGGACAGCTGGGGCCCCTCCTGCAGGGCTGGGTGGGCAGGGGGCACGGGGACTGGGTTGGGTGTGCAGGGCACTGGCAGGGCTGGGGTCAGTGGGTTGGGAGTGAGGGGCAGCAGCAGGGCTGTGGAGGTGCTGTGACTTGGCAGTGAGGGGCAATGGAATGGGCAAAGGCAGGGCACTGTCATATCACTGCCACGCGGACCATCATATCCCACCTCCCCGCATGACAGGTGTCCTCTTTCTTGGACCTGGAAATACGGTAACCCTACCCTGGGGAGAGTAGGGGAGGGTCAGCCCCGAGCTCTGTACTGTGTGTGAAGCCCCCTCTGCTCTGACAGCCGGTGGGGAAAGTGCAATGGGTGGAGCCCCAGCTGGATCAGGTCATCGGACAATTGGTCCAGGGGTGTGGGTGGGCAGCTCCCACTGCTGCTTGCACAATGGGGAACCAAGGTGGGGAAGGGGAGTTACACCCCACTCTTGGCTCCACCATGCCATGCCCCTGGACAAACTACCGGGCTCTAATTGCCCCACAATCTGGCCCAGCTGGTGCCCCATTCATGGTGAATTGGACACCGGCCATGCCATGTTGTGGCACAATCGAAGCCAAGTAGCTCCTCCAGAAGTGCACTGCCAGGCAGCCAAGTGGAGGTGGGGAGCACTTGCCCCCTGATCTTTGCACTGGGCAAGGCAGGCTGCAGGTCTGAGCTGGGATCTGCTCCTTGCCTCCACGCCACACCACCACTCCTTTGAAAGTGGCATGATGCCATGTAATGTGCCTCACTGCCTGACCCACTCAGCAGTGGGATGCATATGGTGATGCCCACCACTTTCAAAGCAGTGGGAGCAGGGAGGTGCAGAGGCAAGGAGTTCTCCAGCCCGGTGGTTCATCTGAGGCTGGCCCCAGTCTGGCCCCTGGCTCTGGGCCACCCAGGTTGTGCACAACCTGGGCTGGGGCAGGGAGGCAGCCAGGGCTGGTGCAGCCAGGGCCAGGGTTGCCAGGGCCAGGGTCACAGCCACTGCAGCTGGGACGCAGCCAGGGATGAGGGCTGTTGGGGCCGGGGGCTGCTGGAGCCAGGGCCAGGGCTGGGAATATAGCCAGGCAGCCTGGATAGCAGCTCTATTCAGGTAAGTCTATTCCTCACAAGCTGGCAGAGGGCAGATTCAGACTAGACAGCAGGAGGCACTACTTCACTGTCAGGGCAGCTAGGAGCTGGAACCAACTTCCAAGCGAAGTGGTGCTGGCCCCTACCCTGGGGGTCTTTAAGAGGAGGCTAGACAAACACTTTGCTGGGGTCGTTTGACCCCAATACTTTTTCCTGCTCAAGGCAGGGGGTTGGACTTGATGATTTGCTCAGGTCCCCTCTGACCCTACCAACTATGAAACTATGAAACTATGAAG